CTTCATTGGCGCAAGGCTATGATAACCGAATTCAATGCCTTAGTTGAGAATGGCACTTGGACGTTGACTTTCTTACCTCCAGGCAAACGTGCTATTGACTGCAAGTGGGTATATAAAATCAAGTATCTACCTGATGGCTCCATCGAGCGCTTCAAGGCGCGTCTTGTGGCAAAGGGGTACACGCAGGTTGAAGGAATTGATTATCATGACACTTTTGCCCCCGTCGCTAAACTGGTCAATGTTCGTTGTCTCCTTGCTGTCGCCGTCACGAAGGGTTGGTACATCCATCAACTCGATGTTAACAACGCCTTCCTTCACGGTGACTTAGACGAGGAAGTCTATATGAAGGTTCCACAGGGGTTCGCACAGCCTGGGGATACTCGCGTTTGCCGACTCCGAAAATCTATCTATGGGCTCAAGCAGGCCTCCAGGAATTGGTATAAAAAATTCTCAGCTGCTCTTCTCGAGCTAGGTTTTCGTCAGAGTCATGCAGATCACTCATTGTTCATATATCACACGACTGGCTCCTTTGTCGTTGCTCTTATCTACGTTGATGACGTCATTCTTGCTGGGGATGACATGGTCTTCATTCAATCGGTCAAGAAGTTCCTTCATGATCGCTTCACCATCAAAGATCTTGGTCCTTTGAAATATTTTCTTGGGATCGAAGTTGCTCGATCTAAAAAGGGCATCATTCTCAACCAGCGCAAGTACGTGTTAGACATTCTAGCTGACACTGGTTTTCAGGCCACGCGCCCTTGTTCCTCACCCATTGAACAAAATCATCAATTGGGTCGCACATCATCTCCTCCTGCCCCTGATCCGGCAGCTTTTCGTCGTCTGGTTGGTCGTCTGCTCTACCTCACCGTTACACGTCCGGATATCACCTACGTGGTTAATCTTCTCAGTCAGGCAGTGCATGCTCCTACCCAGGACCACCTCGCCACTGCACATCGGGTTCTACGTTACTTAAAGGGTTCTCCTGGACGTGGGCTTCTGTTTCCGGTTAATCATTCGCTCAAGTTGACTGCTTATTGTGATGCTGACTGGGGTGGCTGTCAAACCACCCGTCGTTCTACTACCGGTTACTTCATTCGCCTTGGCTCCTCTCCTGTCTCTTGGCGCACTAAGAAGCAGTCTGTTGTCGCTCGTTCTTCTGCGGAGGCTGAGTATCGAGCCATGGCTAGTACTGTCTGTGAGATCCTATGGCTTCGCTGGCTTTTGCAGGACCTCGGTGTTCCTCAACAAGGACCCACACCTCTTTACTGTGATAATCAGGCGGCACTTCACATTGCAGCTAATCTAGTGTTTCATGAACGTACTAAGCATGTCGAGATGGACTGTCATTTCGTCAGGGAGAGCGTTCAGTCTCTCGACATCGCACCTCGCAAGATTCCTACAGCCGAGCAACCGGCGGACCTTTTCACCAAGGGGCTGGGGGTCGAGCACCATCATCACCTTCTTTCCAAGCTTGGCATGTTCGATCTCCATGCGCACGCTTGAGGGGGCGTATTACGTGTCCATGTCCATGTCTTTCATGTCCTTGTCCATGTTGGTTTTGAACTCTTTGTTTTCGGTTGCTTGCGTCCCACGTTAGTCACATACGTGGAGAGTCTTTCTTTTCTATAAAAGGCCAGTAGCTTTGTAGAAGGCCTTGTATCATCTGTTCATTGAAAATCAGAAATAAAAACTCAAGCCGTGAGCTCTTTCGAGCTCACCGTGGATTAGTCTCGTTCAATCATGAACGGGGATACCACGTAAAATCTCGTGTTGTTCGTGTTTGCTTTTATTCCGCGTTGCAGAATTCTACACTCCCTCGCCACGCAAAGCAAAACAAGCCAGGAAGAGACCCCAAATCGACAACCAAACCTGCCGACAAGCAAACCGTACGCTGCAACCCCCCTAACGCCGCGCGATGCCGCCAACCAATTACGCGTGGCCAATAAACTAGGGCTAGAGCTCTACACTACCGATTGGAACAAACGTCAACTTAGAGCAGAGGCTCTGATACCATGAAAAGAACTAGAGCGAAGAACAGACACACGATTTTAACGTGGTATCCCTGATCAACAGGACTAATCCACAGGAGAGGTTGTGCTCTCCAAAAAGGTTTCACTATCGTTAACTTCGTTAAGAGTTACAAGGATTGCGGCTAAGCATATATATGTACACGCTAGTGGCTATTAAACATAATTACAAGTTTGGTCCTCCAACTATATAAATCAACACCAAGAACCAAGAAGAAGCAAATCCCTTAAATCCAAGTAGCTCTAACAAGTCTGTACCAAGAGTAAAGATGAAGAACCCTAGGCTGCTACAAAGAAGACCAGCAAAGAACAAGCTGATACCTACAAAATCCGATCAATCGATCTTAGATTGCAGGCTCTGATACTATGTCAAATCATCAAACAAAACGAAAGAATATATTTTTTTAACGTGGCATCATTAGCATTACACTAGTCCATGAAGAGGATCTCCCTCAGGTTTTATGCTTTTCTTATTTCTTAACCTTAACGTAAGTTTATAGCGGAATATATATAGTGGTTTGATACTACAAACCTATTTGTACAATTACACAAAGGTACCTATATAAATATTATTAACAAATTCCTGTCTACTGACTTGACAAATCATGCTATTTCCGTTATCCAAACCTGTGTTATTTGACCAAAATTTCATAAGGCAAAGAAAGCTGTCAAGTTAGAGAGTGTTGGTACCTAAAAGAAAAGCGACTTTTGTATATTATTGTCCGAACTTATTAATATGTACGAAGTTTTTTGAAAAATAGGTATAAAAGTAAATTCGTGCAAATTTGATACAAAGAGAACAATAATGATTGAGTTGATAAAAGGAAACGGAAAATGTATATAGTGATGAATTAAGACCCAAATTGAAAAGAGAAATTGAAATTCTTCCAACCTGTCAAAAACCACCATACTGACTAGTGACTACTGAGTACCGAGTCCATCCTACCCCACTTCATCTTATGTCAGACTCCAGCTTGGATAGAAGGGTCATGACTCATGTGCTTGTGTCTTGTGTGCATCAGTCATTTAAGTTGCTACGTGTTGTGGGGACCTTTTAGGCTTTTACACGTGCTAGTGTCAATCGATTAGATGGCTGTATATACAAGTTGATACTTGACATTAGTCGGCAGTACGTATAAGTGTAAATAGTAAGTATTGTAGCTGGTTTTGGACTTTTGGGGGCGGAGGAAACAGTATTTGGTTGTTTATTTGGCGTCAATAATATACTAGTGTGGGCCCCGGCCATTTGGCCGACGAAGATGAGGTATGAAATTTGATAATGTAATGGGGTGTATAGCTTATTGTTATATAGTTTTTTTTTTAGAAACACGTGATAAAATAGTGAATTTTAGTAGAAAAAAGACATGAATGATGCAACGAATCAAAAATCAGCCTTATGAACCAAAATCAAGTACCTGTTACCTTGTGAAACAATATTGTTTCTGGTAATATGATGAGGTAGAGTAAGTTTTATAGAAACCGAATTCCAGAAAATCGAATAAAAAATCGCCTATCCCTCCGGTTTTCGGGAAATGAGCATCTCACAATCGTTGCTAGCTTTTACTCGGCCCGTTGGCCGATTAATTTGCTTTATAAAACTTTCATCTTCTCATCATTGTGCTTTCTGGTTTTTTGCCAAGCCATGATAAAATCTAAAGAAATCAAGAATGAACAACACGATTTGGGATAGGAACCAACTTTCCTGTATCCCTAGAAAATGGTGGTAAACACAGACTCACCTGCCAAACTGGTTTGGATTGAGATTTTTATAGGGTATCAGGGAACCATGTGATTATAAATTAGACTTGATCAAAACGGGCAAAATTTTGAAATTCAGCCTGTTTGACCGACTCATGCCAAACTCTAATTATTCTTTACTTGTAAACTTTATATTTGAAAATAAAAAATAATGAAAGAAAAGAGATGACTGCAATTCACCATTTGCACATCACTGATTCGGGAATAAAACTATAGAATTTTGAAAGGAAACTGAAAATGTTTAGGATCGTTTTAATGTTAAAAATAACCAAATAGATCTTTCTGTTTAGTTTTTAACTAACAAATACCAAACCATTCCCTATAATATACACTATAATTTAATCATTATGATATCAAATAATTACATAATATATATTTGAAATGATAAAAATTGGACTAATTGAGTTGGTCGAGGTTGTACCATTGAATAACTTTAAAATACATTATATTTTAGCCACTAAGATATAAAATAATAGCATAATATATATTATGCTAGAGAAAATAGTTTGTTTTAGAATGGCAAACCCATGATGTTCATTTGTTTTACTTGATGGGCAAATCTCGTGTAGGTCAGACCCATTCAACTCTTTTATATTATGATTTGCGGTTAGCCCATTAGAATCCATGCATTAGTTTATTGTTATTTTTTTTCTTTTTAGCAATAAAAAGGAGTATTGTTTTTTCCTTTTCATATATATATTTTACCACTACGGAGAAATAAAAGGACTTAAAGAAAAAAATTGACACTCCTGGACCCGTTTAAATCCGCATGTGTACGGTAAGTTGGCCCGTTCCACAGAGGAAAAAGAAAAAAATTGACACTCCCTACTCTACTCTTCCTACAAACGCTCCTGGAGCAGGGAATTTGAAATGGGGGAAGGGTTTTTTCCTCTCTGCAATTATATGTTTTTAATTTAAAAAGATACGACAAATGTACTTAGTGTGATTGGTTATGATCTTTGTTTTTCTTTAAAATGGTCATGGTTCGAATCCTAGTAAGTGTCTATGAGACTTCAAGTTTTCTCATTTCGCTTTTATTTATTGTGTAGATTTTTTTGGGATAAAGAAAGGGTAAACTCATAATATGACTTGCGTTTGGCCACGTTTGACACTAGACGTGGTTTTGTAGCGGCCTTTCAACCAAGGGTACTGTTGTTGCGGCCTTTCTATTTATTTAAGGAAAGAAGGCGGCTCATTTGCAATTTCCAAGGCAAAGTCAGCTACTTTCAAAGACCTTGTTTAGAAGAAGGAATACTCTGATATGGAAGTGTCTGTGTCTCATGTGCTTCATATGAATGGTGGAACGGAAGACTCAAGCTATGCTGCCAACTCCTTGCTGCAGGTAAATTTTATTAGAGAGTCCGGTCTGTTTGAAATCCATCGACAGGGGTAACGTATTGCATCAATTCGAGATTCTTACTTCCTTTCTTCTTTTTGGCAGCGGAAGGTGATATCAATGACTCGTCCCATAATAGAGGAAGCCGCTGTGGGGCTCGTCAGTAGCTCGAGTTTCTCCGGAAGGCATCTAGCCATCGCCGATCTGGGATGCGCTTCAGGACCCAACACTCTATTCGCCATGTCAGAGCTCATCAAAGCAGTGGCCAAGGTTAGCAGGGAGTTAGGCCATGAATCTCCCGAGTTTCAGGTTTTCCTGAATGACCTCCCGGGAAATGACTTCAACAGTGTCTTCAGGTCCTTACACGGGTTCAAAGAAAAGATGAAACGCGAATTGCGGATCGAGTCACCGATGCTCTTCAATGGAGTGCCTGGGTCTTTCTACGGCAAGCTTTTCCCATCCGACAGTCTTCACTTCATTCACTCGTCCTATAGCCTCCACTGGCTATCTCGGGTTCCTCCCGGTCTGGAAGAGATGAATAAGGGAAACATTTCTGTTGGGAGCAGTAGTCCCTCAAGTGTTTTAAAAGCCTACTACGCTCAATTCCAGACAGATTTCTCGTTCTTTCTGAGCTGCAGGGCACAAGAGCTGGTACGAGGAGGACGAATTGTTTTTACATTACTGGGAAGGAGATCTCAAAGTCCTTCCACCATGCACTACTTTTATGTCCACCAACTCTTGTCTGTGGTCCTAAATCAAATGGCATCCGAGGTACGGTGAAACATATTTGTTGTTCTAATTATTAGGATGTTATGTTTCTTCATATTTTGTTATAATAATTATGTTGTTGTACTCTTCAGGGATTGGTAGATCAAGGGAAACTGGACTCCTTCAATCTCCCAACTTACATGCCATCCCCAACGGAAGTAGAATCCGAAGTCCAGAAACAGGGCTCTTTCGCCATCGAGCGTCTGGAGGTTTGGGAATCTAGTTGGAATCCCTATGATGGAGAAGTAAACTTGCCTGAATCCCGACAAGACGCCGGGCACAATGTGGCCAGGTGCATTAGGGCGGTGATGGAGCCACTACTGGTCCGTCAGTTTGGTCCGCAACGGAAACTTATGGACGAGATATTCATGAGATACAGAGTGATTCTCTCGGATTGGATGGCCGAAGAGGAAGCTAACTACGTCAATGTCACTGTCTCGCTAAGTAAGCCCTAGTGATCCAGTAGGCAGGCATAGATTTGCTGCCTACAATCTTGCCCGTTACTCTGTGGAACTGAGCATCGCCGGAAACTGGAAGGCTTACCGAAAACGTGATGTCAGGGCCGCTGGAGAGTCCAGGGATAATTTGTCTTGACGTTGGATTTTGGTGAATGTCATCTCACCCTGGAACCATATCGGACAAGAAGATAGACACCACCTAGAGAGAGGAGTCCCGAGTCCGCCGCCAATAATTGTCAGCCGTAAGAAAGTGTGGTTTTCACTTTAGGAGATTGTCACCCAACCATACCAAACAAGCTCCCATTGTATTTTATATTTTTTTTCATCAATTCTGGCCATTTTTCCTACGTAAACAGCGATTTTTCGATCGATAGCGGGAAATAATAGGTCAAAGGCATAATGTCTCAATTCCTATATTAGAATTATTAAGCCACAAGCAGACAAAAATTACCAAAAATCGGGAAACACTGTTCAGAGCACTGTTCACCGCGGAACTTTTTGATTTCCCGAGGGCGGTTTTAGCTGATCCCGAGTTCACTACTTTGGGATAGCTAAGTTTTGACCGTTGATCAGTTAGTTTGTAAGGGAATCGTATCCATTAAATTCTTATATCTAAAAACACGTCTTTGTGCATCTCTCTCCTGTCAGACTTTTTCTTTTGCAAATTGCGACCATTCTTCCCTCTCTCATGTTTAACTTTTTCCCCCCTATCCTTTCTCTACCCCATTCTTCTCTACCCTCCATTCTCTTCATCTCCTTTTTCTTTTCCCATATAATCGAAACAAAGCAAATGAAAGGATCTCAGGGAAGATGGATCTGGAAGGGAAGAGCATGCTCTGCCTCCTATATATCTTAATCACCTCCGCGAAAACTGAAGGTGCGATAGTCGGATTAAGTCTTCTTCTCTTCAAAATCGATTCCATGGAGAAAGTTTCTCTGCCATTTCCATGCTTACCACTCAATCATACTGGGTTTAAGCCCTACCTAGCACGATTGACATCCAAAGTTTGATTAGGGATTAGTTCTTCCTTTTCCCATTTTAGAAACCCTAATTGATGAAACTCTCTGGTGGATTGATCGAGATTGAGAATGGCGGATTCAATGGTGGTCGTGGTTGGATTCTTTGTTGAGGAAAGCTTTGTTGGGGATTGCTTTGTTATAGGATTTGATGGAGAAGAAGGGATTACTCCGTTGCTCTGTTTGTATCCTTCTCCCTCTTTGTTTTTTTCCCCTTTCTTTTCAATTTCAGTTTTCTCTATCCAGTAAATGTTCCAAGCTACGGTCAGACCCCAAATTTTATTCCTTTTGTTTGATTAGGAGGAGCTGCTTCCGATGATTCATTGATCCATTTGCAGTACTGTTTATTTCCCCCTTAGCCCATATGAACTTGAGGATAATAGGCAGCAAAGTGGGAATAGTATAATTTGATTCCCAGTTTGTTTAACTATAATATGACTTTTGGATTTCCCAATCTGATTGCAACTTTGGAAACACTAGAATTTTAGCACACTTTTGAGTCACCTTTTCATTCAAGCTCAAAGTTCATTATTTCAGAATTTCTATTACGTGATAGAGTCGTGGGAATGGCATTCTAGCTTACAGCATAATTCCTGGGGTTTTCTCTTAGTTTAACTCCATTAGTTTCTTATTTACTCTGTGCATATTCTTCTAAAGAAGTTAGTATATTAGATCCGTTTCTTAGCAGTCATATTGTACTGCAAGCAAAGATTATGAAATAGGTCATGCTAAGGAGAATATTAGAACCATAGTTTGTAGAGTTGAGGACTTGGATTGATTCGCTTTTGCTCTCTTTTCATTGCATGTTTTTTGAGCTGAAACTTTATATATGCTAATATACCCTTGATACTTATGTTTACTATGGATGTGTTATCTTAGCAAGACAACGAAGGGTATTATCAACGACCAAATGGTGGAGAGTTCATCAGCATTCACTTCCATTTTTCCTTTCAGGCTTTGAGTTATACTACATGAAAAGGATTGAGCAAGAACTAACATCAGTTGATGATTCACTTGGGTCATGCTAGCAGCTTTATCATGAATCCTTATTGTTTGCCTCGATTGAAAGCTCTCCAGTGAATTTAGATCATAATCTTATTTCTCCCTATTCTCTTTTCATACTGGAAATTTGTTTTCATTAGAGTAGCATGCAGTTTCATCTATGTTTGAATGCTTGAAAAGATATAGGGCTTGAAGTACTTGCAAGTAATAGTAGAGAATGAGTTAGCATGCTACGATTCCCACCATCTATAATTATTATTAAAGCAATTTCATAGTACGCTTTCATTTCTTCACTTAAAGATATCTTTGCTCGCAACTCTTTTCCCATCAGAAAGGTAACCACTCTTCTTGCTGAGAATGTCATTACAATTTTCGTAACGAAGACTGATAGGCGAATTTATTCCTTATATTGTAACCAACCACTCAAACCATGTCATTATTAACTATTCCATCCGAAGTTAAGATCTATTTAGTGGACTTATGATTACTTGAAGCACTCGGTTAGTTGTTTGGCCTTGGATGTATCACTACTTTTCAAGTAGTGCACTATTAGAACTGGCATTATTGATTGAAGATTTGTATATCCGTCATCGTTTCTTATTTTTCATTCTACTGAAAATCCTTTTCAAGTTAACATATTTCCTTTTCTAATATCCATTATTTAGTTATTGCTTCGGTACTTTCACTTATTTTCTCTAACATGGTAAAATTAAAATTTTCATATTTTCAATAGGGTCAATTTTCATATTTTCATATTTTCAATAGGGTCAAACCTTACATATTTGGGATTTTTTTCTAAAAAAAAAAATTATTTGATACTTTTATCCTTGGTTAATCATCACAATTCATAGATTAACTGAAACCCGTTGCGTAGCACGGGCTAATTAACTAGTTGTAATAATTTGAAAGTCCAATGATGTAAACTATATGTGAAAATGGTTTAAGTAATGAAATAAATATTTAAGGTGAGGTAAATTAAACAAAACAACTGAAATAAACGTAGGTTGAAAATCAATGGAGAAGGTTGCGAGAAACCGTGGAAATTACTACCTATTCACAAATTAATTCACTTGTTATATTTGTTTTAATCCAAATCTCTGTAGTCAGGATATCACTAATGTGCTAACTATCCATGTCGGCAATTACCACGTAGTAATCAGTCAAATCAAATCCTACCATCATAGCTCAATGAATTAGCTATTTAGCCTTATACCCGAAATCTCACTTAAGATCACATAGAACCTTATGGAATCTATTGTCGCTCTGATAAGTTACTACGTCATATGAAATATATACAAATATTAGGGTCTTACTATCACCAATAACCTAATTAGCTACAAATCAGTGTATTAGTGGCCAAACAATACAAATAATAAAAGAAAAGAGAATACTAAATTAATTCATCAAGTCAAACTAGCTACATGTTAATGGCGGTTGCCAAAAATTGGGATTCAATTCATAATGAAAATAAAAGATACAATCATATCCTTATTCTACTAGATATGTTCCCAGGCAATGGCCCATTTAATTTTATAATTATTATTTTTGATGAATTAGTTTGCTTTTATATCATCAAAAAGGTGTCAAAACTTCTGGCAACAACCTGCCAAACCGATAATTATTAATAATTTGAAATTATAATTAGTCTATTTTTTGGTTAGTTGATAATTTGGATTGCTGTAAATTATTTGTAATCATAAATTTATGTTTATATCATTAGATTTACTCTAAATTCATCTAAATTTTGATTCAATACTGATTTTATCGATATAGTGAAAAGATAAAATAAATTTTAGAAGTAAGAAATTATATACGTCGGATAAAATGATAGTCTCAATCTTGTTACAATAATTAATATCGTCGATATAGTTTATCTATCTTATTAGATTGTATGGTAAAATATATTTTAGTATTACTTGTTATATACTTTATAGGGTAATGACTATTTATTAGCCAAATATTTTTCGAATTTTTTTTTATTAGCAAAACCTATCGAAATACTAAGAATTAACCAAATGTTAACTTTTCAGTTATCAATTTTGTTAGTAATATTGACTTGGCAACATGATACTGACTTGGAAGAGACATGAAGATCAACATTCTAAAATTTTAGTATTTTAACTAATAAAAGAGTTAGAAAATTATTAACGATAACGTAAAAATGACTAATATTTTGATGCATTACGAAAGATTTGGATAATTAAAAACATTTTAATAGGTTTGGATAAAAATAGACATTACCCTACTTTATACTATAATAAATATCGGCCACATAGGTTGTGTGTTTGAATCCTAGTAACTCTTATTTATATGTTCGTATAGTTTTAATAAGTGTTGAATTCAAAAAAATAAAATATTAAAAGTGGCGTGGAAAATCAAGGCTTATGTGGATGCTTAACAATTGAGAAAATTTGAAATGGTGAAGCCTAATTTTAGAAGAATATAATTGATGATTTGTATTAATGTAATTTATTTGTAATCATAAAATTTATGTTTATATGATAAGATTCACTTTAAAATCATCTAATTTTGATTCAATATCAATTTTACCGATGAAGCCAAAATATCAAGAACTTATTAGTAATATATTAAAATGTGAGATAACTTGATAGTCTCAATTTTATTATAGTAATTAAAATTATTTATGTAATTTATATGATTAATTTTGCAATTAATATTATGAAATAGAGTTTGTCTTACTGGTTACGAACTTTAAGCTACAATAATTTAATAATTATGTGTTTGAATCATAGTAATGCTTATTTATATGTTCATTTATTTATAGTTAGTTTTGAGCTTAAAAATAATAATAAAGTAACATGGAAAATTAAAGTTGTCATGGAAGCTTGAAAGAATAGAAAATTCAAATCCGTGAAGTGTTTATTTGGAAATTTATTATCTAAAAATATAAGATCAGGATTAATACATAAATTTTGTCTATTTTTAATTTACTGCAAGCAGAGTGTTTCATGGAGGGGCAGTTTTGACTTAATACTCTTTCAAATAATCTCAAGCTTTTTATTAATGCACCTCCAAAGTTCACTCTCCGATGCATTTTATTGATCGACAAACCGCTTCTTTGACTGAAAAACTTCACGCCTTCACCCAGTTGGCTACACAAATCCCTTTCTCCCCTTTAATTTCAACTTCCTCTATTCTCCACCTCTAGTCCAACTCATATTTTCCCCTTCTATATTCCACTCCTTATTTCCTTTCGTTTTTGTTTGGTCTTCCCCTTCCTTCTCCTAATTTCCATCTCCGGAGATATCCTCGGTTCCATAATCTACTAATGGCTTTACAAAATTTCACTGGCTCCTCTTATAGAAAAAATAGGAAAGGAGGAACGGGTTTCTGTTATTTATAGAGTTCAAGTTTTACTATTAAGCAACAGTAACAGTGATGTGGCTA